CCGTTTCAGGCGGATTACAAAAGGATTCCGTTTGTGGCGGATTACAAAAGGATTCGTTTTGTGGTGGATTACAAAAGGATTTCTTTTGCTAGCGATTACAAAGGGATTCCTTTTGCGGCGCATCACAAAAGGATTCCTTCTGAGGCGGATTACAAAAGGATTCCTTTTGTGGCGGATTACAAAAGGATTCCCTTTGTGATGGATTACAAAAGGATTTCTTTTGCTAGCGATTACAAAGGGATTCCCTTTACGGCGCATTACAAAAGGATTCCTTTTGAGGCGGATTACAAAAGGATTCCTTTTGTGGCGGATTGCAGAAGGATTTCTTTTTATCACGGAAAGGAAGAAGCGGCCGCCTTATGAAAAACTTTGAAAACGCAGGCACCCGTTACGCTTCCGAGACCACTCCTCGGCGCCTCTTGGGGCCATCTGGGAGGAGATCGAACAAAGAGGGGGGAGCACTTCAATAGCATTGCCTCCTCTCCTCGTCCTCCTGCTCCTCCTACTTTTCCTCCTCCTGCTGCTCCTTATCGGCACGGCCCCAGGGCCTCCTCAAAAGAGATTCGTGGTTCGGAATTTCTCGAGGGAGCCACCGAGCGCTCAGCGTAACAATTGTTGACGCTTCGTGTATCCCCACCAGCCCATCCAGAAACGACGCCCAGGCGAGTTGAGGTGACCAGGGAAGTGTGGGAGCAAAGAGGGGGACAGCCGAGCCGAGCGAAGAAGGGATGAGGAGACGGAGGAGGCTAGCTGGATGGATGGATGGATGAAGGAGTGGGGAGAATGGTGATGAATAGGAGGAAGAGGAGGAGGAGGAGGAGGAGGAGGAGGAGGAGGAGGAGGAGGAGGAGGAGGAGGAGGAGGAGGAGGAGGAGGACGCGAGGATATGAGACATGATTTCTATAGCAGTTTTGGCTTAAGCAATCAGTGCGCTCTCAGACAACGACAGCGATGTCGGCCAATCAGAAGCAAATTTCCCGCCAAAAGCGGCAATGGGCCGAAGCAGTGGCCGGAGGGAGAGAGTTCAAGCCGAAAGGCAAATGGCTCTTCGACCCCGAGAAGGAGGAGGAGGCCCTCCAGAAGGCGAAGAAGCAAAAGAAAGGGGAGGAGAAACACCAGCACTACGAGGGCGGCCACCACCAAAAGGAAGGAGAGAAAGAAAAGACGAAGGAGGCGACGGAGAAAAAAGACGAACAGACAGGGAAGCAGCAGGGCGGGAAAGAGGAGACCCAACAGAGCGCGAAGGCCCACCACTCTTGGGCGAAGCAGGGTTGGCGGCCCCTGTGCCGAGACTTCAAGAAAGGCTGGTGTTCCTACGGTGCGCGCTGCCGCTTCTACCACAGCGGCGCCGACGCGTCGGCGGGCAGCAGCACGGACAACGGGAACGGCAGCCGTCCTGCGTGCTTCCACTACAAGGCTGGGTCCTGCTCGTACGGAGAGAAGTGTTGGTACAAGCACGAGGTGGACGACGCGGGCCCTGCGGCCAAGGACGGCGAGTCCGTCTACGAGGGCAGCGACATCCCTAAACCAGGGGATCTTCTTCAAGAGACGCCCGACGAAGCAGCTCTCTCGGCGTCGATCGCCCAGTGGGCGGTCGATACGGAGTGGGAGCTGCGGAAGACGAAGTCCGACAAGGAAGTCTGGTTCTCCATCGATTCCCACGAGTCGCGCTGGAACAAACCCTCCGCGAACGAGAATGCGAAGCTCGTGGAGAAGAGGCGCGACATTCAGAAAGCCGCCCGCATTCGCGCCGCTGGCTTTGCAGCCAAAGCGGCCGCGGTGTTGGCGAAGTGGGGCGTGACCATGGACGAGCTGGACAAGGATTGGGTCTTAGAAACCATACACACAGGGAGGATACTTGAAAGGAGGAGGAGGAGGAGGAGGAGGAGGAGGGAGAACATTGGAGAAGGAAGGAGGAAGGGAGGAGGAGGAGGATGGAGAATGGCACCGCGCATTGTGTTATATATAGATAGATAGATAGATATATAGATAGATAGATAGATAGATATGTGGATATGTATATATAGATCGATAGATAGATAGATAGATATATATATATATATATATAGATAGATAGATAGATAGATATATATATAGATATATAGACATATATATACATATATATACATATATATACATACAGATATGTAGATAGATAGATAGACAGATATATATATATATAGATCGATAGATAAATAGAAAGATAGATAGATAGATCATATATACATATGATTCCCAGGAGGCTGAGATGGCCGACCGCGCGGAGCGTAACAGGCGCGAGCGGTGCCAGCGCAGATTGGAGAGCATCTTGAGAGGCGAGCAGTAGAGACGAGGGCCCTGATGAGCGGCCGCGCGGGATATAGTAAAAACAGGCCGCGCGGCGCTCGGCAGCCTGTCCCATGAACAGGCGTGAGTTGTAGAGGTGAATGCTGCGGATTAGCGGCCGCGCGGGATATAGTAAAACGAGCCGTGCGGCGCTCGGCAGCCTGTCCCTGGATTT